AAAACTTTTGACTATTTGCAGCGACGAACATCTGCATATATATATATATATAGTTTTATCACAATTTCTTGCTTCTCTTAATTAAACCTTTAACTACATACATATATATTTGTTTGATTCACACTTAGTAAAAAAATTTTAAACTTGTATTAATTGCACCTGTTTTACTTTATGTCATTAATGGTTATTATCATAATTCTTCTTTATACTTTTACTTCCACTAGATAATCTGAATAATCCAGAAACTATTACATACAAACATAACTACCTTCTGAAGAAGCTGAATAATTTTTCTTTAAGTAGTTAAACATGAAAGGGGTTTGCACTGCACTGCACTCATTCATTTTACACATAAGCTTCATAATATTTCTGTTTAGATAATATTCAATTTTCGATGAAAAGAAAATTTTATAAATAAAATATTGCATGACATTTTATCAAAAATGACATCTTTTTATAACTTCATATACCTTCAATATCACTACGAGTTTTGTTGTAGAATTAAAATATGAAAAAAAAAATGTTTTTTCTTAATCAATTTTTCCTAGCTTTCAACATTAACTCTTGAAGTATAACTCTTTAATTACCCATTACCTTTATATGTATATGTATGTATGTAAATATTCGAATTAATTCCTAAAAATAAAAATAAAAAATAATCGCATGTAATAAATTAATATGTCAAAATTTTCATAACGTATTATGTAAGTAAACACCTACATATATATATTAATTATTATCAGTGCCCGTAGTTAATATATATTATGAACTTACAAAACATACATATTTATAAACGGCTGGAGCAAGCATTCGTTCATATGTACGTAAAAAATTAAATTGATCTATAATTTTTATATTATACAGAGTGTGTCCCTTGCATGAGACTTTTGTTTGAAAATAAACAGAATTGAGAATGAACTTTTGAACTTTTATAATATAAATAAATAGTGAAGGTACTAATAAATGCTACAGAAAATTCTGTAAATAATACAAATATACCGTAATAAATATACAGTAAATTTTAAAATTAATTTTGTAAGAATTAATATTGTTAATTAATATTGTTGTTAGCATTGATTTCTCATAAAAATCTGCAATGTAAAAATAAATTTGAAAAGAAAAAGTAATTTTATTATTATAATACAATTCTAACTTTCATATTGTGATTGAAATATCTCCGTACATGTTTGTACATGGTTTTTTTCTAGACATTGTAAAAGTAAAAATTTCTACAAAATATTTATTACGAAAAGTTCAAATGGTCAACTTATGTTCATATTAATATTCTTCTGCTTCTAATTTGCAGACTTTTTAATAAAACTTTTAAAAAATTGTAAGTCTAAATTGACATTTATCATTTCGCATTCATATTTCAGTTCATTTTACTTTGTTTGAATTTCGCATGATTAGACGGTTTTAAAAGCAGCTGTCAAACAAAAAAAAAAGTAATGAAAAAAAAACCTCGTATTTATTAAAAAATTTTAAACACGCATTTTTAAATTTCATGCTGTTTTGTTAACTTTTTAACACTTGCTTCTTCTTTTAAAAAAATAAAAATATTTTAAAACTCTATACATGTACATATTATGTATGTATTTATGTATATTAAGTACATATTTATTTATTGTTCTATTAATTTTACGGGCCACTAGGCACTTTTAAAATAAAATATTTATTAGCAACAAATTGTAAACCATTACATTTGAGGTGAATAAATTTACCGAAATCTTATAAATGTTGGGTATTGACAAAACACTTACAGTTAATGCAATGATAATCAATAGTAAAATTAATGTTATATAAGAGATTTAATATTGACAACATTGTATATACACATAAACTTGGAATGCTCAAGGCAATTATTGTTGTAACTTATAACTTAGATCATCGAACCAAGAAACTACTTTCATAAAATAAAGTAAATAATGCAAAATAATACGATGTTCAGATAAAATTCAGTTTATGAGTTGAGATTGCTGAATTGTGTAATACAGGCCATGAATCGGCAAAACAGGCAACGAAAAAATGCATTTAATGCGGCGTAATCCTTTGGTTTTTAATATCAAAATAGAAGTTCCCTAAATAAATTTGTTTACTGAGAATCCTAGACCAAAAAACTCATCTCATCGGAAAACCTCACATTCTAAGTTTGACTGAAATGTTTGTTGGGCTTTCTATAAATTTGCTCTCTTCGTCATGTTTAAATTGAAATTTTATTTATATAATAATCAAAAATTTTATAAAGGCAATGTGCTTAAAAATCGATATGTTCATTTGAAATTAGATATTAATTTGTATAATGCAAAACGTATGTATATGTATAATATAAATTTATAACATATATTATAAATAAAATAATATATAAGTTTGCCGATTTGTATGTCTAACTTTCCTCCAACTTTGTTAAACTATGTAATTTGTAACCTTCGGGGTAAAATATTTCAAAGAAATAGAAAGAAACAAATCAGAAATCACTGATTCTTTATACAAACGCTTTAAGCGTAGCGCTAAATTTTTTTTCCTTATAATGTGAAATTTTGTACAAGAAATATATATATATGAAAAAAATTATATTTTAGTTAAAGCAAACCACTTTGTTTTGGTATAAGTGACTATATGCGTCGAAAAAGTTGTTATCAATACAATGTAGAGAAAAGTTGAAAAGATATTCACAGGGAAAAATATAGATTTTTACAAAAGTTATTACTTAGACCTATGCAAACTAACACCTATAAAACAGGAAAATTGTTATATGCACACAGATTTGATAACCTTAATTAAATCAGATTACTTTACCTCATCTTTAATTTTTTAATATCTTTAATTGGAAATAATTTCTAACAAATTTTCACCTTAAACTAAGCACCAGCAGAACTGATATTATAAATTGTGAACTGTTTTAATGGGACATAAAAAAAAAAGTATAATTGAGGTACATCTTTTTATGTTTTCCATTCTATCAAAAAACAAATCCTCGAAATTCTATGGTTTTTGTATAAACATCGTTTGTTCTTTAATAAGTTCAAATATTTTCCTTTTTCAATTTCCAAAATACATAATTCTTCTATAAACACTGTACTTAAACTAATATTTGCAAACACAAATTTAATGATAATAACAAAAAACAAAACCCTACAAATAATACTATACTTAAACCTTGATATTATTTTAAAACGATTAATAAATCTTGATAATTTAGGAAAAATAAAATGATGAAAAATATTTGCAATAAATTATAATCATATAATCGCGTTAAGGAGGTTGTGTTTAAACATTTTAATACTAAGCGTACGATAGAAATTTTGAATGTCGTGATATAAATCTTATTCTACTTTATTTTTATGGCATGCAATATAAAACCAATAATAAAGAAATGTATACGAGTAATTCCTTTAAAATTTTATTTTTTTTTAGCCTAAGATAGGAACAAAATGTAATGTAAAAACGAAAAGTAATTTTACATTTTATCACTTGTTTACTAACTTTAATTTTAAGTTTTTCTCTACTTTTACATTCTCAATTTGAAACGAAATCCGCCGTTAAGAAAAATAATTTTATAATAGAATAACTGGAGGCACCATTTTTACTTAAAGCATCTAGGTACTATTATATTATTAAAGATGAGAATAAATTCATATGTATGGAATATAACTAAATAGATATTTTATAATAACTAGAAAACTAAGAATTTGATATTTCTCAATTTCCCGACGCACACCTACATATCGGACTTTCTTTATATTTTCTAACCCTTTTTTATTGAAATGTAAGTATAGGTAATAACATAACATTTATATTATGTTAGAAATATTTTTCATATTATTTATCCTCTTCCAAAAATATACAAAATTGAGTCACCATCCATTATTCACATTTACGATGCTTTAAAGGTTCAGACGAAGTCATACAGTTTTGTCGCTATTTTAAAATTTTTACAAAATGCCGTGGGAATTCTGATTTAGGAAGGATCAAAAAAATTAACATAAAATTAAGTTATTTGTAGTTAAAAAATACTCAATCAATTACATAATTGATTACAAACTCTTAGACAATTTCGGTATTGTTTTGAAGGTAAACCTAGAAATAGTACAACACGGGAAAGTTATGCAAAATGCAGAAACATAAAGCCTTAAAAGCGGTTTATATAAAAAAAAGAAATATTAGAAAATATAGTAAGAAATCGCAAATACTAATCCAAAAACAATAAAAGAACGTAGAAAAGCAAAAATAACGATATAAGAAGTGAAAAGAAAAAACGTATCAGATTATATGGTGCTGCAATTCTATATTATAGTTTATGGCAAAATTTAAAATTATTGGCAGAGAATTATAGCATGATATCAATCTAAAATATGGTGTTGTTTAACTCTTCAGTCTTAGTTTGTTTTTTTCTTCTTTCTCAAAACAAAAATTATTTACACGCAATCATTGATTATAAAATATAATACTTTAATACTATGTATAGAATAAAAATTTGATAGAGGAGAAAAGATTTAGAAAATGAATACAAATTGAGAAACGGAGATACCTATAATTGATGAAGAAAAGAAATTAAGATAATAACTATAATTTGATCACAAATTACTTGAAATCTAAAATCGCTTGGTGATATGGTCTTAATCTGGTATGTTTATAAACATAAATATTTTTAAAAAAACATAAAACAAGGTAAAAAAATTAAAAGTTTTTGATTCCAAGTTAGTTTTATAACTGTCAATTAATAAGAGCTCATAATTTAATATTTGAAGCGCTTTAAGTTAATTATTTGCAGTTTGCGTATGGATTTTTAATTTAAAATTCAAATATATAATTTAAATAAGCTCTGCAAAAACTACAAATTCGATATGTACACATTTGCAGAAAAAATTTAATGCTGTTACGAGTATAAAGTTAAAATTGCGATATTTTTCTTAACAGAGTTTGGAGTAGTAGATAGACATCCTAACTTATTAATTAGATATTTATCAACTTATAAATTAAATATTGAAAAATTAATGAAATAGCAATTTGTTTCCAATTATATTTTAACAAATATTCATTTCATAATATAATATTAACTATATAATATAAAAAAGTTTTTAATCTTTTCATTTACATATGTACATATGCGTTTCAGTATTAAATTCAAATTAAAATTCTTACATGTCATTAAATAAATCGTCAATATTTCCTTCATTTTCAGTAGTGTCTATTTGTTTTTCAACATTGATTTTGTAAAATTCATTTATATCTTTAACATCGTCTAATTCATTAAAGAAATTACAATCTTTTGATGACAACAGGCCCAGTTGATTTTTAACTACCACATCATTCCAAAATTCGTGCATTTTACGATTAATAGCTATAGCTTTTATTTCTCTAATAAAATCGTTAAAGTCATATGGATTATATTGTGCAGCTTCATCCCGGTACATCTTTAAAGTATTTGTAATTTTTTCATATTGTAAAGATATAGTTTTAAAAATCAAATCTTTTAACACTTCCTGAATTTGTCTTGTAAGTTTATCAAATATTGGAGTTTTTTGATCTAGTTTTTCTGGACCCAAATCTTCAACTTCACTCTTTATTAGTTTTTTAAAATCTTCAGCTGGCGTTACAGTTCCAATAGATATTAGTTTTTTATATTCTAATGGTTTTCTTTCGATTTCAATGTCATTATTAACCTCATGGCTATCAATATTACCAACATGCCTAATTAATTCCTTCTTAATTTCTTTTTTAATCTCTTCTAATGGGAAAAGTTCTTTTATTCTTTCTAGAGGTTCTTCTGTTTTTTTGTAAACTTTTTCAGGTACATTCAAAATATTATCTCTTCCTCGCAATGACAACGTTATTTCCTTAGTTTCTTCAATAATACGTTCAGTTGCTACTTGACAAATGTATTCATTTGCTACATTTGGTAAATTATTCAATGGCAATAAACTCTTTTCATAACAATCACGAACTTCACCATTCGAGCTTAAGTCGTCATCAAGATCCATCGCATCCATTAAATCATCGATAGCTTTATATTGCTCTTCAGTAGGTTCTGTTCTTTTAGATTTTAAAGGTGCAAATTGCCAGTTCACATGTTGTTCAGAGCAATATAATTCGAACAAAGTTAAACACGGATATTTTTGTTCTGTGTTTGGAAACAAAGCTACAAATTTTGGGCGTAAACCATCTCTGTACACTCTGCGACCTATCATTACCATATTATTTTTATTAAGAGCTTTAACTAAAGCATCCATCATTTTCACTGATGTTTCCATTGTTTGTTTTGCAAATACCAAATACGTTGCACTACCGAAAATATATTGAGGTAAAACATTAGATTTCTGAGTAAAACCAATGCATTGCATACCCTGTTTTGTTGTAGGTAAACTTTTCTCATAGGGTACTGCTGTTGATCCTAACATATAGCCGTCAATTAGCTCCTCAAACGCAAATTGTTTTTTTGCTTGTTCATTTGAAAAAGAAGAAGAATCGCTGGATATATTTGATTCGGTTTCCATTTTCATTTTTTCACCATTTTGAAAATATTCTGTTGCAAGCCAAGAAATCGAATGGGGTTTTGCACTTTGCGTTTTAAATTGTAAAAGGGTTTCTGATTTAATACTTATTGTTACTCCAATGTGAATTTTTATTTTAGTTCCAATATCAAGCGTTGAGTACCAAAACCATGGTCTGCCCTTGGGTTTTAAACCGTATGACATACGAGAAAGGGCAATATCGAAATTACACAATACCCCATCAGTTTGGTCTAGTACACTTCTTGCTAATTTTTCAGACATAATCTGATCTTCAGTTTTTTCCATCAAACTTGAGAAAAATGGTTTTACAATATTTGTAGTAGGATCGTCTTTATATTTCACATAATTACTTCTACAAAATGAAATAAATTTTATTTAATAGACTTTAATAGTTGAAAAAATTTAAAGGTTAGAAATGTAATATATGTAGATTTTAATTGCAAACCAATACCTACCCTAAAAGCAAAGTTTAATATGCATAATGAAGCATACATGTATCTAGTTTAAAATAAAAAAAACCTACTTCATTTGAACTACTGAAATAGGACATGGCATAAACATTTACAATGTCAGAAAGCAAAATCTATACACAAATTTTTGTAGATGCTGCTTTATTGAATAGGTACTTACATAATCACAAGGTCGACGTTGGTTTCCTTTAAACGTTCTATAACTGCTTCTGAATTGCTCTCATCTATAGGATACAAGAATTGATGAAATAATATTATTTTTAAATATTTGAAACGTTTTGACCTGAAATCAAACAAATATTTAAATTTAGAGCTATAATTTATTTTTTTCTTTTTTAATTACTCTTCTCTTTTTAAAATGTCTAAAGCTACAACGAGACTATCCATCCAATCTGCAGTTTCTGATCCCTTCTCTTGATCAATTGAATTTACGATTGAAGTTAGCATTGTCCAACTAGGTATTTGCATTGAAAACGCTTCAACAATGTTGTCATAACCACCAAGGTTTATATTTAATTCATTATCAGTGTTTTCAGCTCCCAACAGAACAAAAGCAACTTCATCCTTCTTACCAACAAATATCTAAAACTTACGGTTTTAACATTTTTACCAAATTAAAAATGTGTTAACAATGTACCTTCTGTTGAAGAAATTTAATGCAACATTCTTTCTGTTTTTCAAAAAACGTGTTTTCAGCTTTTTCTTCTTTTTCTCTAGTCTTTTTAGAAACATCTAATATAACTATAACTCCTTCCTGCAATGTAATACATACATATGTACATACGTTTTTAAAATTGGTCATAATTTCATATTGTTGATCTCTTACCTTAGTTTGCGCCATTAATTTTTGTTTTATTTTGAAATCCGCTATATGAAAGAACTGAAATAAGAACCATGTGCTTCGATATAAATTCTAAATATCACTGTTGTATCTGAATAATAAATTTAAATAACGAATATCTAAATGTAATTTGTGTAATTCAAAATATTAAAGTTTAACAATATCGGATATAATTTCCCAACATACGTTTAATGACATCTTACTTTTATACTCAATCAAACAAAACAAAACTTATATGGGCCAAATGTGACATGACAGACATTTGACATATAAGTGTCATTTAATAATGTTGAAAGTTTTTAAACTAAAAAAGTAACTAAATTTAATTTTATTTTTATGTTGCATCCAGCGGAGATAAATAGGAAAACTATAGTCATCATATATGATGTTCTTCTTGTTTTAAGAAACCTTTTTTTAGATTATTGTAATGGTTGAAAATTTATAATATTTGGAAAATTAATTTTAAAAATAAACTAAATTGCCAACAATTGTGAATTGTATGATTACATTGTGAATATGTTAGTAGCTGTAATTTGTGGCATCAGAAACGAACAAATATTATTCACCATTCAATAATATATATAACATATGTTGAAGGTGAAGTAATATCTATCAACAAACCGTCATAAAAACTATAATTGTTGTTTGGACTAAAACTTAATAAATTTTCGAAAATTTTTTCGTTATAAAAAATAATTTATTTATGTACGTACTTAGAGTTCCAAATTAAAAGATTTGGCTTATAATCAGTCTGCTCCTCAAGAATTAATAATTACAAAATGGCAGCTAAGAAGGTTATTTCAATTTATAAAAAAAAAGTAGTAAAAAATGAGTAATAATGACGTCATTTGTTTTTAGGAAATTGATGTGGAAAAAGAAATTCTTATAACAGAAGAAACGCCGGTTGAAGATTTTGAAAAGCTAATTAAGGAAAATGTTGAAAATTGTGTAGATGATGACGAAAGAATCTCAAATTTTGACAAATATAGTGCTGAAATGCGTTCAGTTATAAATAAAATCCTCTTCAAAACACCACCGGTTCCTAAGGAAAAACTTTTGGCTACCTTCAAAACATATCGCGATGAAGCCTGTTTTTATAATCCATATGATTATAATGATTGGATTAGAGAAATCAAAAGTAATTTAATAGAAAGAAAAATGGTTGATGCTTGGGAAGAAATAATTGTTAAAAACCAATTAGGGTTATTATGGGCAAGAGATTGTGATTTCTTTGACGACATTGAGGACAAAGAGCCCATAGAATTTTACAAAATCAAAAATGATTCGGATGACAGTAATAAAAGGATAAAACTTACAAGTGATAAAGTTGACCCTCAGGAAACAAAAAATTGCTCTCCAAAATCAAATGACGCGAAATCAACTCAAAATGTAAAGAAAGACAAGGTGACCTCGGCAGATCATTATTTGAAATTAGTTAAAGAGAAAGTGGAGGAAATTGATCCAGATGAAGAAAATAAAAAGATTACAATTTTTGATAATTTAAGCAAACAAATTCGGGATATTTTAAAAGAAGCGATATTGAATTCAGCCGATTTAGATTATAATAAGCTTGCCAGGGATATAAAAATATACAGGGATGAAGCTTGCTTTTACAATCCTTATGACTACAATGACTGGATTGTAGAAATCAAAAACCTAATTTTAACACGCAAAATGTTTAGTTTTTGGGAAAAAGTTATTGTTAAAAATGAGTTGGGCCTATTATGGGCAAGAGATTGTGATTTTTTCGATGATATGGAAGATGAGGAGCCCCAAAAATTTTATAAAATCGATTCTCAAACATCAAAGGACCATATTAAATCGCTCAAAGTTGGGATCTTGACACCAGCAGAAGATTACAGAAATCTGGTTAAAAAAGAGGTAGAAGAAATAGATCCTGAAGAGGATGATGTAAAAATGGACATATTTGATGATCTTAGTAACCAAATCCAAACTATAATCAATCGCTTACTATTCGAAGAAGAAATACCTGAACTGGAAAAAGCCGCAGAAGCTCTTAAAGCTTACAGAGAAGAAGCATGTTTCTATAATCCTTACGATTATAATAGTTGGATTAAAATTTTTAAGTCCAAAATTATAGAGAAAAAAATGCTTGATTTCTGGAAAAATGTAATTGTTAAAAATGAATTAGGTTTACTATGGGCTAGAGATTGCGATTTTTTTGATGATATGGAAGATAAAGAGCCCGAAAATTTTTACAAAATTGAATAAACCTTTTTTGTACAAAGATTTAATTTGTTTTAGTAACTTGGAAACTTGAATTAAAATTGCTTCATAAAAATGTTAATTGTTATTAATAAATTTTGATATAAAGTAAATGAATTACATTTTTCATAAATATGTACATATTCAGAAGATTCAAAACATCCAAAATTTATTTTCATTTGAAATTGGAAATTTTTTGTACCCAAATATAGCCGGGGTATCTTCTTAATTGCATCTACGACGCATCAGACACACACATATATTTTCATAAATACGCTACATGTTACTATGCGCATATTGCGTGAACTTAGTAGCAAAAATCGAAAGTAGTGTCGAATGCGGGAATAAATTGTGTTAGCTCTATCACAAAAAATCTGTTGATAAGTGGTAAGAGAAAAATTAATTTTTTATTTCTTTTTTAACCTCAAAAAATAAAATTGCATATCTAATTGAAAAAACGCCAAGTAATTCCCGAATCATAATAAAAACTATTGTTAAATTGTATTGTATAGCTAACCATTTCCTTTATAGTTTCAGGATTTTGAAATATGTAGTTAGTAATTCTCAAAAGAAAATTTTGAAGTTAATTTAAAGATAAACGCTTTTTTATCTTAGATGCAAACCATTTGTTTTTGAAAAATCGCTTTTAGTTCCTAGTTCAATACAATGTTACATAAAAACTTCTTGTGCAACCGCAATGTGATTTTTTCGAATCTGAAATGTATTAAGTCTATACTATATTTGTTTAAGTAAAATGTAGGAGAAACAACTAAGACCAATTTATAACAGGTGATAAATTTGTTTTAGTTATTTCTCCTACATAAATAATAAAACAAAATATTTACATTCCATTTACAAGTTTAAACTACTCATGAGATTTTTCTTTTATTGTTCAAATATTAATTTAACAAAAAAAGATATTCAGCCCTATCATGGATTCCACTCGTAGAATTCTACGAATTACGCTACGACGTAGACTTTTTGAATAATCGAAATCTTTAATCACAAATTCCTTCCCTAGAAATTATGAATCACCAATGGCAGTACCTTTTTTCAGTCAAAATCAATATTTTATTTCAACTGTTAAATGTTTATTTAAATTTTTTGGTTGCTATTTCAGTAAATAACTTTCATACAAAAGGATGTTATTAATAACATTCAAATATTTTTTTTTTGAACTTTGGCAATTTCTTAGTTTTTGAATATTTTTGAATAGGGGAAAAATTTTTTTTTTTGACAAATATAAATTCATTTCCCTTCATGGTAACTTTGTTAAAGTAATGCAAACTTAAACAAAAAAATTCAAAACTTGAAAATTTAAAAACTTTTGGGGGTTATTTTACTTTAAACTTTTAGGGGTTAGTTTGGGGAGTAATACAGTAATCATACTTACGAATATTCGTAATTATGATTATTGTATTGCGAATATTCGGAGCAGAATGTTAATAATTCTTAATTGACAATATGATATTCGTAATATTTCGAATTTCACAGCTATGAACGAAATTCATAGTAGGATTGATTATGTTAAATTCACTTTGCAATGACAGAGCTGCTACAGAAAACATTGTAATTAAAATTTTGTATTAACTGTAAATTATAATTTTGTATAAAAATTAATTAAACAAATATTATAAATTATTGATATTTTTGAATTGAATTATGAAAACGTGTGAAGTACTATTGTGAATTATGAACACATGGGAAGTGCTATTGTGAATTGAACATATGGGAAGTGCTATAGTGAATTGAAACATAATAAATTTGAAAACACAGCTGAAGCTGTTGAAATTCAAACCAAATTAAATATTTAAATAAATTTCAAAAAATAAAACTTTTTACTGTTGTTGGTAATTTACTTTTATATATTGTATTTTAACTAAAAATACCTTGACATTACAAAAATTTGTCAGCCGTGAAAAATACTAATTGCAATAATGATTGCAAAACCAAAGAATAGTAACGGCAAAAAGAAAATTCAAAAAAAATTATTTGAAAATTACAAAGGGCGACATCTATAAGCTTTTTTGCTTATTTTTTAATGATTGCTAATCATTTATGTGAACTTTGATTTACATGTGATTTTGACGTTTGAGGAAACCATTTTTTTTTTAATCTCCTTCACAAAAACAAAAATAATAAAAAAGGATTAGTTTAATACCTTGGTTTGGTGCGCGGGGAATTTCAGCAAAATGTTTAGTTAATGGTTTATTAAATTAGTTTAATTAAAATGAAAGTGTTAAAATAAAAGAATAATATAAGTACCTCAGCAGAATAAAATGAATTGTGGTTGTGTCAACATTAAAAATAGCTTTTAACAAAAGAAAAAAAAAATGATGGAACAATTAGAATATTTTCAAAAAATTACCATTAGCACATAAAAATTAAAAATAAGATTAGATGCTACTGGAAATTATACTTAAATACCATTTTCAACAAAAGGTTGTGTGTTAATTTGAATTAGAAAAAAATTTGAAAAACCAAGCAAAAGTTTTTAGACGTAGAAATGTCCAGTAATGACTGCAGTAAATCAATTACGCTTATAATTATATAAAAAATATTTTTAATCAAAATTTTCATTCAATTGGCTTACACTGGAATATTATAATAATTTTTATGTTCATCAACTCCTAAACACATATAAGTGAAACATGTTGAATGTTAAGGAAATCTTTACTAATTTAAAACTTCAACGAAGAATTGGCCAAACAAAATTTATTTCATCGGCTTTACCTTTAAATAACACATTAATTAAAACTCCACAAACTTCATTTAAAAAACGTAATAATTTTGGAATATATAGAAATAATAGAAATATCCAAGAAAATCAAGAAGAAATTGCACCAGGTTTAATGCAGCTGATAACATTCAATGAAAAACTTCACAACAGAGAATTTTTCCTTTCTAAAATTTTGAAAGCTATTTTGAATATTTATAGAAGCAAGCTAATTACTACCATAAAACCATACCGAAACCAGATTAAACAAAATCAACGACTACACCATAATATAAAAGCTTCAATGATAACAAATGAATTTGCTGCTACATATAATCTTTTGATATGTCAAAACAATGTTGATACAAACACAAGTAAATTTTCACGATATTTTGACAGTGATTTTTTTACGTTAAAAGCTGAAAGTTGTGCAAATCTTTTAAGCAATTTCATCACAGAATTTATAAATAATATAAATTGTTTTCAAAATTATTTTAGTTTCAATTTAAATATAGTATTGAACGGCAACAACAGAGAAAATTTGGAAAAAGATCCGGCAATAATATTAGCTGAAAATATTAATAATTCTAGAAATATTAATAAAATTTATAGTGCAAATATTTTTGGTGCTAATCTCATTAGTAAATGTTTAAGATTTAATAAAAATATAGTAAATTTTTTCAAAGGTGATAGCAATAGCAAAAGTTTAAATATAAAAAATATGTCTAAAGTTGCAACTGAAAAACCTCCAATTGATATTTCGAAAGGAAATACAAATAATACTAATTCAAAGGAAACATCATTATCTATTGATCAAGATATGTCAACATCATCATCTACATCGTCAGGAAATAATACAAACAATGGAAATAGTAATTTAGAAAAACCAGAAAAAGGCTCCTGTTTTACAGCAAGCTTGGGTGATATAATAAAATTTTTAGAACTTGTTGGTGGTTTAAAAGTAAGTGACCTCCCAATATATAAATATATAAAATCATATGTACATATTATATAATATTGATTTTTGTTGAATAGGCATATTATTTTATATGGATATATCTATAATGAAAATGTGGCATTTTTTCTTTCTACTAACAGTAATTATTGAAAATTCGAAAATTTCGAAATATTGTTAAAGATCCTCTTTATCCTGTAAATAGTTGAAGAAGATTATACTGGGTGGATAGCTAGGTATCTACTTATGAACCTACTCAAAATCAATTTAATCCTAAAGAGTTTGATTAAAAATTTTAATCAAAAACTCTATTAATAAATACGCTTACGTATTCTATATAATTATGTATCTATTATAAAATACTTTTTGGTTTGATTGCGTAAAAGAGGAAAACTTTTTATAAACAAAGTTATTTTCTTATGTGTATTGATTTTTCATGAATAATAAAATATGAATGAAATTTTTAACCTTGGAGACTTTGTTCTGTAGTTTTTCCAAATACAAAACAAACACGGAATGTGTTAAAAGAATAAAATATTAAAACTAAAAATAAGAAAGTTCAGAAATCAGAATATCTTCTATTTTATGTCGTAAGAAATTTCTTAAAATACTTCGTTGTAGTTTCTTTGTTTGGTTAAACGACAACAATAAGAATAAAAATTATGCATAAAATTATAAAACAAAATTTTGTGAATACATTCACAAGTACATAATATACAAGTGTACTTACTAAAACTCCAAGTAATTTGAAATTTTTAATAAATTATCTAAAATGCACACAAAACTAAAGCTAAAAATTCTTCATTTATGTATGTAGCTGTAGGTACATTCTTAAAATAATAAGGCAAACATTTCTATAAATAGAATATTTTATTATTCTAAAAAAATATATCTTTAAGTATAAAGTATAAGGCATAGTATTTACCTAAAGATAAAATATTGTGGTTTGTACAAGATGTCCTTAACAGTTACAATCACACTACTGTTTACATTTTATTTGGTCGATATGCAATGCCATAATAAATGTATTATGTGGATAAGTGTATACATATAGTCGTACATATAACTTAAGTAGTAAATATAGAATTTACACAATAATAACATTGTACTTGAAATTTGATTATGTCAGAGTTTGATTATTTGAGTATATCAAAGCGGAAGGGCCAAAAAATTATAATCTGGTTCAAATTCCCAACCGTTAATTAATATGTTTTATTCATCCAATCAAATCCAAATAAATTTTCTTAGTCTTCTACTGGATGACAAGAATTCATGTTAATACAATTTGCAAGTTTTTTCCAGGACCTTTTCTACCAAAATTGAAACTTCCTAAATTTGGTCATATTGGTACACATTTTGTTTAAGGATCCTTTAGAAAACTGATCCGTTTAAGGTCCGAAATAGGTCCTGAGTTGGGTGAAAAAAACAGTGTGGCATATTTTAGAAAACGTCTGGACAAGGCAATTTTTTTTTAACTTTACTTGTTTTTAATTATTTAAAAAAATTTCTGGTTCTAATATAAATATGAATTCTGGCCCTTCGTGTTCAATAATTGAATAGCGCTGCATTACACATCTTTATTTAACTGAAGCTTTTCTACCTACTTGCTTAAAGGAGAAGGATTATTAAATTAGTCTGTAACTGTTGGTAACAAATTGTATAAGGTACATGCCCCTCCACACACCCCTATATAATGTGTTCCTTTATTTTAGACTACATTCTGTTAGTTATGAAACATAAATAGCTATGTATCTATGTTCATATGTTTACAAACATATAAACGCAGGTATACATGCATTTGTATGTATCTATATATAAATATTTGAAACAATGTAAATGTATCTTTTGATGAAATAATGTTGTCACCATATTAATCGGAATGACGACAGTATTCTTTTTGTTTCATGGGAGTTTTGGAAAAAAGAAAAAGGATTTGTGTTTAAATCCTTTTAATTATTCCTTTAATAAGTAATTTAAATCTTGGAAAATTAATATTACTTAACAAATTATTTGTTTATATAAAATTTGTTGTATAAAAGTTTTTTAGTTTTTGAAATTATTTTGTGGGGGTAGTCCTTTTTTTGAAAACCTGATGTCATACTTTATGCATTAAAGAAATCCAATTAAATATATAAATATAGCTATGTATTTAAAAATTAAAATATTTATTTTAATATGTGCTTATATACAAACATGAATAATATTTTTTGTTTTAGAAAATAATTAATTTCCATTAAAATTTAAAATATCGGCTCGTGTACATTTTTGGCAAAATATAAATGTTAATTTGAAGCAGAGGGGAATATTCAGTTTTCTAAATTTCAATTTGTTATTTATTAATTTTTAATTATTTAATTATAATCATGCACATTTATTAATAACTATGACAGTTTTTTGTTATAAAAAAAATTGCTAAGGCTTTTTCTTAAACAAGAACTCTCAGCGTTTATGTACATAATTTTATTTTTTTAATTACTTAATTGTAACATTTTTATTAAATTTCAATAGGACAAGTAGCTAGAAGAATAGGTAACATGAAACAGATTTTTGTTTCATTAGAAAAGGTTAGCGTAAATTCCATAATTTTCTCCGACAATCTGAGAACATTTAATATGACAATATTTTTTTATAATAAAATAAATGTGTTGGATTAAATTATTCACTTTTAAATATGAAAGTTTTCTTTTATTTTATATTTATTAGAAACACGTATTGTTTATGTGTTATACACACTCATTATTTTATTGTACACACATGCTTGCCTAACTAACGTACTTACAAAGAGCGACTTTCTCAGCAAGAAACCAAAATATAAAAACAAAAAGTGTTTTGAATTATTTATAGAAAATATTTTATATATATGAGTATAACAAAAATAAAATGACTATAATAAAAATAATAACAATAATAAAGAAGAAGAATTCTAATAAAAATACCAAAAATATTTAGCAGGGACACTTTGCTAAAACAAAAATCTATTAAATATTACAGAGAAACGAAAACAAAGTCAAGAAAGCTTTTCTAATTGACCTTGAATTCTTTGAAAATGTGAAAATGCTTAAGAAGAGTTTTTATTTATATTTCTTTTGTATCGCTTCTTATTTAAGTGGTTAAACATATCTAGTAGTAGTAGACATTTGGAATACATTGCTATTAGGTATATAGGTACTATGTCTATGCTTGTATATAAGTCATGTATTCATAAAAAAACTTAAATATTTTCATAAATATGTTAATGTGCTATGAATATAAATGAATTATTTATTTATGAACGTACTATACGTACTTATTTTATAAAACTTTTTATTTTCTAAATAAAAAAAAATAAATAAGCCGTTGTCGCACTGTGAATGGTTGGCAGTGGCCAAAAATTGAGTAAAAATACAATGTAAATGTGTAGATAAGTAAATAAAAAATTGTTTAAATAATTATATGAGATTTCAATGGCTTCTGTAATTTATAATAAGGTGGTTGTTTATATGTCACACAAGTATTGACCAATACTAATTTAAAATTTTGAAATGACAATAAAATCAAATCATTGTCAAATGAAACGGGAATTCCCAATGTACATATATTTCGTAATTAGATTCTAAAATTGATTAAAATTAATTTTAACTAATTATTTAATTAGTTATAAATCTTGGTACTGATAATACCAATAATTTATTGTGTCTAATTTTAAATTTCTTTTTAAAAATTTAGAAAACTATTAAGTCGCCAAATGCTTAAGTATGTATGTATATTTTACAAATTTTACTTTACATTTTCTTTCAAATGAAAATCTTATCAAATGAAAACCAAATAAAAACAAAAGCTCGAGCAAAAATTAAAGCAAATTTAAAAATCTTGATAATTATTTTAATTATTAAAACTAACTTGTCATTAGGCTCTGTGATACCAGGGATTGAAAATTTTATTTTTCTGTAAAAAATGATATTCGATTTAAAATTTTAATTACTTATTTAGATTTGGAAGCTATATTGCTTTTCATATTTGTGATTCATGAGTAGTTTTTTATAGAAATTTTATAAAAATGAAAATTTTTCAAATCAATATTCAGCTTAATTTTTTTTTTAATAATGCAATTTTAATGAGTTTTTTTTGTCATTTCAGCAAATTTTACATTTCCGTATTTTATAAAAAAAATAAAGCATATGAAGAACATAAGACTTATTTCACTATTCTTTTAACCCATTCGCAGTGATTTTAATGCGAGATTTTAATTATTGCGATTTTCACAACTTTGTTGATAATATTTGCGGGTTAGAAACAGGGCTTGATTTTTTTCAGGCAATTTGTCGTAATGTGCTGCAAGATTGCCGAAGATTTATTAATTTCTGTGGTTTATTTTTAGTTTTGGATGCTAATTTAGTTTTAGGTAGCTAATATTTCAAACTATGCATAACAAACAGTTTGATAAAAAAATTTTTTGTAAAATAAAAACGCATTAGACAACATCACAAAACAGGTGTATATTTTATAATTACTTACTAATCATAATAAAAATTCAATTAAAGTAATAATTTGGTGTTTCAAGAAATTAAAAAACATATGCGTACATAATATGTCCTTGTAATCGCAACAGGGTTAACATAAAAACGTTGTTAAATACGTATGCATATATATATGTATTTGGTATGCTATAGTTATGTGCTTTTAATATTGTTAAGTAGTATAATACAATTTATTATTAGCTAACCTTCAACCTTTAAAAAAAATTTAATAAAATGAAATAATTTCAAAAGTATTGAGTGCTAGCCAAAAAAATAAATAAATTTTTCTGAACGTGAAATACTTTTTCAATATTTATTAATATAAAATTCTTACTGTACAATTAAGAAAAATAGGAGAAAATTGTAAAAATTTCATCGAAAAGATTTAAGTTTAAAAATAAGTTATTTAAACAAAAAAAACGAGAGTATTAGTTACAATTTAGTTATATTGTTCTCAAAACCTACAATCGATGCTAAATTGTCCATAAAAACAAAAGTTTCAAGTACTTA